CGAATCACAGTGGAATGACATCGTGCAGGATCGTCAGCAGCGTGGGGGTGAGTCATTATTATTGTATTGAGTGATGTGTGGTACCGATGTCCTTTATCCAGCATTCGTCCCATCCTCTGCAGTTACACGTATCCCAACTGGAGGATCGATGCCAGCCCAACAGAAGAGAGATAATCCTATAGATACCCGAAAAGTCCGGACACCCGCTCCAGGTCCTCGACCAAATGTTAATCCGAATCTGGATTCATTCGAAGCCGTTATGCGTGCGATGGATGCCGAGCTGGCTCGTGTCAAATCTTCCACTAAAAGCTTTGCTCCAGCTCAAGATCCACCTCCAGCCGTTGGTAAAGGGAAACAGAAAGCAACCGTTGAGGACGAGGAAGACGACACAGAACTTGATATGGACGCAGAGCTAAGAGCTGCTCTAGCAACAGATGATGGCCCAGAAGAAGACGAGAACGACGAGCCCATGGACTATAACCTGATCAAGAATTTCCTGGAAAGTTACAAAAGTCAGGCTGGATTATCAGGTCCTGTGGGAAATCTTGCTGGGAGGTTGCAACCCGGGTGGAAGATTCCGAGGGATATATCTTGATTGTAATGTAGTTATCGTCGTATATGTGGCAGTGGTTATGTAAAATACCGTTTGAACGTGACTTGGCGCGATTTGGTTCCGCATTATACATAATAGTGATAATACGGGATCGCTCCCACTGGCGCACCGCGACGTTCTGACTGTCTTTCGTCGCGCGTAAGTTGAAATTTTAGGCCCTCCCGTCAACCATGATCCATGCTGTGCTTATTTGTTGAGTCATTTCCTTCGCTAAGCGTTTTTCGGCTGACATTGGGGACGTTTGCCGTAGTTAATACCTCAGGCATTGCTAGATTGACTAAGTACTACACTCCACTTCGCCAATCTTCTCAAACACTGGTACAGAAGATTTTCTCCCTTGTTTGCTCGCGCCCCGCGGGTCTTTGTAATTTCCTCGATGCCCCAGAATTAGAGGCCTTTTTAGGGCCAAAGACGAAGAACGGAGTGGAAGAGAGATGGCAGGTGATATATAGAAGTTACGCCACCCTCTTCTTCGTTTTCGTTGTAGACGGTGCAGAGAGCGAACTAGGCATTCTCGACCTGATCCAAGTACGTCACTAAGCCTCAATCACTGGTCCTAAACTCATAAACAACATAATAGGTATTTGTGGAGTGTTTAGATAGGGCCTTCGAAAATGTCTGCGAGTTGGATTTAGTTTTCCATTTCGATGAAGTATATGATATATATCAATCCGGGACTGAGATTCACATTTCGTTACCAGGTACATCATATACTCGCAGAGATCGTTCAAGGAGGCTTAGTCCTTGAAACAAATGTAGAAGAAATAGACACTTCAGGTATGTCATACGCCCATCATTCCCCACTCAAATATCGGCTCTTCTATACTTCACTTTATCACCCTTGGCTCACACCACGATCAGTTCAACAAGCATCAAAGGCGAGAAAAGAATCTTTCGTATCTGCAAATCCGCTTTCGCTTGGTGTAGGGGGTGGTCTCGGTCCACGGACAGGGAACATTAAAACTCCCCTGGGGTGGTTAACAGGAAAATTGACGGGGGTAGGGGCAAGATAATGGCTTTATCTGGCCTCTATACACAGGGAAAATATAATTGAAACTTGCCATATACGTCTACCGAAGTCCACGGTGGAAGGAAAGGATGGCGAAGTGGAATCTCAGTAAAATAGTGGCATGTCTAACCCATTAATTGTTGTTAATATGGTTGTGAGACCTTACAAACCACACAACGTCCAGGACACGGCTCCCGAAGAAAATCACGATTGGGCTAAAGGAGCTGCTAGTGACGTCCCTATCGACATTTCAGGGTGGTTTGTTATGGGATGGAAAATGTGGTTACAAACGTTTTCTCTTCTTCTTTCCTCCGCCAGGAGGTACCTTTGTTATCTCTTGTGGTGATGGTACGTTCGTTGCATTTTTGGGCGTCGCGCTTTGGGATGGTGTGGGAGCAGGCGTTGCGGATGAGCTTATGTGAGGTGCGGGAGTATCCACCATTAAACTGTCAGAATTGGCAGAGAATGTGTTAGAGGGTAAAGATGCTTTAGCATGTGCAGCGGTCGCACGCATAGCATTCAAAAGAAGTGTATTATTCTGTTGTCTTTTTGGAGGTTCAGTGGAGCCGAGAGCTTTGCGTTTTATTGAAGCGACCCCAGATGTTGTCTCAGTGACGGTATTTGTGTCATCTTCCGAGGCTTTCTTCTTTGCACTTTCCTCCTGCATTGTTGGATCCATAATCGGCCAAACAAAGCCTGTTCGTGGTGTGTAATCGGGCCGGTGAGTTCGCAAAATGTCCAAGGAGGATTGTAAGGAAGACAAAGATGTAAGCTAGACGGTCCGCGTTGAGTAGGAAACGACATTGGAAGTACATGAAAGGATTTCACTAAACGGTTCGAAAGGACGGTATATATGTCTGGAGACTGGTATATCCGATTGTTCATAATGAAGTATGCTGCAAGCGGCCTTACTACCAGACGAGCAGTATTTTGAGATATGATGGATCTAGAAAACATATACCCACAGACCTTCGTCTGGAGACAGTCGTTCTCTCTTTTGGATGATGAACATAGTAGGCGGTTGGGCATGTACCAGTGCAAATTCGACGCCAGTAAATCGTCTATGAGCGTTTTACTATTGGTAGCACCCGGGACTGTACCTCACCTACCTCAGCTCCTCGGCTTCATTGAGTATTGGCATACCAGTATGCATGGTCTGCATCCGCAGGACTTGGTTGTTGCTCTGTTTATCGTAAAACATGGATGTTGCGAAGTAGTCAAAAACGTTCTCGTGAGTGAGAGGACCATTAGCCTGTTTCAAGGAAACATGTAGACGCAGTGAGTTAGTCAATAGAAGGAACGAACCTGAATCCATTCGTGCCATATAAAAAACCGATGGCTGTAATCATCTGGTGGGTGTAAATCGTTCACATCCATTATAATTAGATAATTGACATGCAATGTTCAGATGTAGTGGTTGCCAAACAAATATAACTCTGAACCACACTTGAATTTGTCGCATATGATGGGATGTCACTGTACGACAGAGTTGTCGTCGGCACACTGATGGCCACGACACTCGCCGTGCACCAAACCAAATTTCTGACGTGGGGGAAGCCGGCTGAGGCTTGATAATGGGCGGCCTTTTCCATTCCTTTCTGAAGCTATCTAGGGGAGAAACATTGTTTATTATATATTGAGAAAGCCGACACATAATTGTCCAGAAAAGATATTCGAGAAATATAGACGATACGGAAGTCGAGATGAGGTTGAAGGAGTGTCAATCAAATAACGCAAGGGAGCTGGAAAGGAGTAAAATAGTCCTATAGATATAACAAACAAAAAAAATAACAACCTGGAAGTTATAGCAAAAGCTACAACAATAATGAAGGAGTTAAATGGATTCATATCGAGATCACGTCCGTCGCTGGGCCAAGTATAGATAGTAAACAGGGCGGTACGGAACGTGATACGTCGAATGACGCTCGGCGGGACAAAATTCCAGCTGTCGGGAATGCATAGGGGGCACAAAGACAAGAAATTCTGACGCGCTGAACAAAGATTGCCGCGGGGCCTAGTTGAGATGAGCACAATAATCAGATCGATTATGGAATCGAACTTACAGGGAGAGAAATGTGTTTGATGTTGTTGAGATCTACTTGATGTCGTGGCAGGCACACTCGGGGGCCCGACCAACATAACCTTTACCACAGCTGTCGCACCAACCCCTCTGGCCTTTCTCGACACCAATGGAGGTGACCTCTGGCTCGTCGCGATGGATACTGACAAGGTGACGACCTAGATCATGCTTGCGACTGAAGGAGCGCCCACATGAGCGGTGGGGGCAAACATGAGGCTTAAGCCTGTTGGGGTCATGGGTCGCCATGTGGGTCTTCAAGTTATAGGCGCGCGCGAAAGCTGTGCAGCTGTGTAAACGATAGAACTAGAGTAAACTGGCATGACTATTACCTCGGGGACAGGCGGCGCATTTATACTTCTTGCGGGGGTCACCCTTGTACTCGTCGATAACACGAACGCTTGAGGGCACGATTGGAAGAGTAGCAGTAGAGATGTGGGAGGGGGAAATGGTAGCTTGGGTAATAGAGGGGCTGTAGTGCAGCGGGGCATAAAAGTCTGAGGCGCCGCACTTCGAATGACCGTAGTCAGAGAAACTTGTGCGATGAGAATAAGACTTGTCAAAAGCCTTGGCGGAGTTGGATAGAGGGACCGCAGGGCTGCGGGGTGGAGTAGGTGGCAAGTTCCCAAAAGAGTTGGGATCTGTAATATCACTGACACACATATGCGAAAATCCCATGTCGACAGAAGTGTCGAGTGGAATATCGGTAAAGGAGTAGTGAGAAGAAGGTGAATTATAGAAGGACTCGGAATAGGAAGAAAGGCTCTCGAAAGAGGGGTCACTGAGAGCTGAAGATTCTGTAGAAAAGGTTATGGCAGAACCTGGGCCACAAGGAGTTGGTGTATTAGCAGGATATGGGGCGTTGACCTGAAAGTCGAAAGCACTGAGATCAAAGTCTCTGTTAATAAGATCAACGTCGGACTCGAATAAATCAACAGAAGGGGCAGCTATGAGCTCTGGGGAGCTAAAAGAAAAAAGGTCGTGGCCAGGCTGCTTGTGGGCCTGTGTGGTAAACGCAGGAAAGAGTGAGGAGTCAAACATTGTAGTGCAAGTTGAACTGCGGAAGGGGCTTTAATGGGAGAGCTGTCGTCGTGGTGGTCAAAACCAGGAAAAGCTGTGAATTCGATCTCACAAAACCACTTATTACATTCCCTGCTGCGCTTTCTTAGGTAAGCATCCCTCCACTCGTAAGCGTCATGACCACTCCTATCCCGATCTCCGATCACCCGATCGATCAAACCAACCCCATAAACCGTTCCAATCCACTCAGTTCGCCGCAACCCTGCCACATCCGAAACACAGCCCGCCTAGCTCAATCGGATAGAGCGTCAGACTCTTACCAGGCGGGAGTTTCATCTGAAGGCTGCGAGTTCGACCCTCGCGGTGGGCTACTTATCTTTTGCCAGTTCCTTTCCCCTTTTATTTTACTTATTTTTACAAAATCAATAAATTAAATTTTAACAAATAAAAAAAAATGAACTTTAGCCCACCGCGAGGGTCGAACTCGCAGCCTTCAGATCACAAGATGTCCAGTCCCCCAGACCTCCGTAAAAGTCTGACGCTCTAGCCGATTGAGCTAGGCGGGCACTGTAACGCTATCAACGTTTGCACTCCTCAACGGGAAAAGACCTAATTAGTTACATTAAATATCAAACATTTTACAATTTGGAATGCACACACTAGTACAACGCCAGTCGTCATACTCCCACCCTGGGGACACAAGCTAATGAGTGATTACCAGTCAAGAAGCATAGAGAACAAACCTGTGGACAACCTTTTTCTAAAAGAGGCACGAGATCAGTATTCACGAAATCCCTCAAAATCCCAAATGACAAACCTGGCCAGAAAACCTTATAATCTCCCGCTTCTCCATAATAAACAGTGTTCTCTCTAATGCATGGCTCGAGTACCCCTGCTGTGTAACAAACTCTCGGACAAGACTTTGATAGCTCGTGCTCCAACCAACAGGGAGCCGTCTCCTCAGCTCACGCTCAATCAGTGTCATCTCTTCATTCAACTCCCCGCGTGAAAGGCCATCGGCAGATCCTGCAGACACAGCATCCATTGTGGAGAATTTGAAAAGACGAATAGCTTCTTCGACATGATGGTTCTGCACCACAGGCGTAAGCGTCATTTTTGCCAGCGACTCGGATATACGGATAATAGCCTCCAGTTGCCTAGTAGTTTGTGAGCACCCATCTCAGGGGAATATAAGTATACTTACCGAACAGTGATTGGGATGGAGCTTCGCTCATCATTATCCTTTTCAACTTGTTGAACCTGCTTGCGCAAACTAACGAAATGGCTACTCAACATCTCTTGGGCGTCGGGAGATAGGCGTGGCGCGCATGTGCTAGCAAGTGCATCAACAACATGCTCACTATCCCATATGTTAAACTCACTGCTTGCAATACGCGATGTATCTCTTCATTTTCTCCAAACCAAGCTCTCCAACACCATTTTCATTTTCATCAGTAGATTGATTGGGTCGGTTCATATGAATGTTCATGACATGCCTCGCAATCATCTAGACCAATCCCATCAGTCATGGTCTTCTAATTTCTTCTTGGAACCGACCTTGTCGCGTTGTTCATTGTGCTCATCTTTGACAATGAATATCATATCAAATCGAGATAAGATGGTCGTTTGAAAATCAATATTCTAGATATTGCAAAGTATTGAGTAACGTTGAGGGCCCAAGGCTGCATAACAGTACCTCTCCAGGGCTTCGTCCCTCATCATACCTACCAAACACGGGATTCGCAGCGGCGAGCACACTAGTCCGTGAATTGAGCACTGTGGTAATACCTGCCTTTGCAATTGATATCGTTTGTTGTTCCATAGCTTCATGGATTGCCACTCTGTCCTCGTCACGCATTTTGTCAAATTCATCAATACACACAACTCCCGTATCGGCGAGCACCATAGCACCCCCTTCCAAGTAGAATTCTCGCTATCGAAAGTTGGTAAACACATAAATTATCTTGTATGCTGACATACCGAGATAGCATCCCGCTGCACTGATGCTGTCAAACCTGCAGCACTGGATCCTTTTCCCGAGGTGTATACCGCAATAGGTGCTACCTGTAAACCTTTAGGCCAAAACACAGCCAAACGTGAGTTAACTCACTTTTTCAACGAATTTGAGAAGTTGGCTCTTTGCGGTGCCAGGATCACCAAGTAGCAGGACATTGATGTCGCCTCGAAGTCTCATTCCATCCGGAAGAACTTTCTTTGAACCTCCGAATAGGAGGCAGGTAATGGCCTTTTTTATATCTGACTTTGCTATCAGCCACTGTAGTCCCAGTGCAAACACCGAGTATCGCATACCAAGGCTTCCATAGATACTGGGCCCGACGCTCTTGGCAAATCGTTCATAGAACCCTTCACTCCTTGCCAGTTCACCAAATTCTTCTTCTTCCTCTGGTGTGAATTGGACACCAAATGGATTCGATCCTCCAGACCCTGCCCCTGATGGAGAGGACATTTCAAGATGAATGACACGTAGATAAGGTTGGCGCAAAGCCGCAGGCCCAGCGCTTTTCTGAAATTGAAATGTTACCATGGCTTCGAGGAGTATATCACCAACATCTTACGTTCTTTGAAGATTGGAAAGTAGAATAGATACCCGTGGCGACTACACGAGACCCGGGCACAACCTTACCCGTCAAATACCTATCAGCAGAAAGGAGCATGTGTCGAGGAAGTTCTCCGACCGGGACCATATCCGGTGCTTCCTGAAGCTTGAGTGTTTGATGATCAGCAAATGTAGATTTGGAATGAATGATCAGATATGGGTCTAGGGGACAATCCTTCTTCTGCCCATCTGGCTCGGGCGCGTCACATACACGGGGAAGCCCTCGGTCAGAACCGCCTCCAACGCCACCCATCCCGGCACTTGGATATATCATTTTGGTTGAGCGACAGGCGCGACATTGTAAATGAAGCTTGGTCGCACGGGAAGAGAGTACAGATGCTGATATGACGATTCCAGGAATGCGAACGAGTTTATTCATTGTATTGGCCGTGAGTTCACGGAACTGAAGCATATTCAGCCCCGATCGCAGTGTCACTTGAACTTTTGGAATCGATTCGGCTGCAGCTTCAGTACGATCCTCGGATGTGGCAGCAAGTGGAAAAAGAATCATGCGAGCAACCCTGGTGGCCGCATTTTCAAACTAAGTCAATAATAAGCGATGATAGCTAGATATTTAGCCATAATATGTTTGAAAGATCGAACGCGAGACTCACCAATGGCAACACATCCGAAGGGCGGTCCTGGATTGCATGTGCCAATTCATCATTATAAAGGCTAATGTGACGAAGGTCAACCTCCAGAAGGTGTTGCTTCAAGAGTAAGTTTCCTCGTAGCTTGTCTCTGTGAAGAATAAGAGACACCCTCAAAGAGCACATAAACACACGAACCTGTAGATGAACTCTCCACCCACACGATACTGGAGCAAGAAATCTAGCAAAAGCTTTTCGGTTTCTGATGGTAATTCTGGAGAGGGTCCTGAGGGGTTATCGTGAACAGATACAGTATAGATATTGTTCGCGTCGAATCCAGACATGGCGGGGCGAAGGTGAAGATCACTGGCGCAAAAGCGTGAGAGCAATTTGCATATGAGCTTTAGGGCTGGTCATTACGCGCGCAACTGATAATTTCTCGGCTAATTAATTGGGGACGAAACTAAGGTTTCGCCAGTTCAACGCATCTGTCTACTTCAAAATTCTTCAGTCACCAAGGTTCCACTCAACTTTACTTGGGTAGTTACACTGTTGAGTATTAATACACAACGGGACCACACGGATAGTATTCCTGCGAATTATTCACACGAATTCATTTTACATAGATGCCTCGCCACTCCCTTCCTTGGTTCAAAAAACACCCAATTTCCAACATAACGGCCTGCACATTACAATCCCCTATCTCACAATATCCTGGCCGGCATGCCAGCCATATAAGAGAAAACCATCACTCGGTACCAACTCTACTCTAATATGGGGCATTTCTAGTCTTATCTCAAATCCCTGATGATATCGCTTATTGGTGGGAGCAGCGGGGGCACACAGCAGCAGTTCAGACTTGTTGGCACCTACTTGAAATTCTTCTCGCTGACACTCTTAAGCTGGACATCACAGAAACAGACACGCCCAATAAACATCGTGATGACGTGAAATCGAACTTTATTCACCTAGACGCCGTTTTACATCACACCCTAGAGGAATGTATATCGATAGAGAATGAGGTAAAGGAACCCAAAATATTCGTCCAAGCGCGACCGCATCCCGATGCACTAGCAAAAGTATATTTCGAGTAGAATTTTGTGAGAAGGTACTAATGATACAGAACAATATTAATTGTAGAATGCAACCCAGGTTATCAATGGTGCCGATCCCAGTCGCCTGGTATCGTCCCTTGTCTTCCAATGCCTCTTCTTCGACCTCCTGGCCCTCTCTCATCTCGACCAGTGGTAAGTACAATGTGCTTGTCTACAAGCTAGAGTTGGATGAGGTCAATAACAAAGCGCAAGAATGAGATCCCCATACATCGTTCAAAATATTTGCTGATTTCGTCAATGACGAAAGGAATGCTGTGAGCTGAACATCCTCGTATTCCTAGGAGGGAGGCAAATAGCTGAGAAGGATGTTGATAAGTTTCGGGGATACATACCGTATCAAACTCTGTACGAAACGCTTTGTTTTCCGTAGCCGGCAAAGAGGCAATGAGTGCGGTGAGTGCACGTAGTGTGACATGATCCTTCTTTGCTTGACCTATGGAACAAAATACAGTCACATCCACCGACAACGGCGAAAGGTGTTCCATACCTGAAATCACATCTGTAACATATTTTACCAAAACTAGAATCCGCTCATGCAACATCTTGACGGCTGATCGTTGTGTTTGAAGATGAGACTCCACTACAATTGCAACGTTTTAAGAATCATATCCTTATATTTTGTTACTGAGACGCACGACTCGTCCCACTACCTCCTCCTCGGGCAGTCCAGTCAACAGCAATGCGTTCGGCTTCCCCAGTCTCAACATTGTACGAGGCTTCGATGAAAACAGAACGCGACTTTCGATCCCGCATTTCGATTGACGGTTCATACGCTTTAAACGGGAGTGCCTGTGCATTGATAGACATCGAGATGGCATTGACGTTTGGCTGGAGCAGAAGTAGTAAAGGGGTTGAGCAGTATCCTGTGAACTACTGATGCGTCATCAGAAGCGATGGGCGATAAATCGGGTATAAACGAGACTTGCTTGTTCATGTAAAACGACATGCCGGGCGGTTGGATGAGGTGCGACTGTGTACCAGCCGATGAATTCAAGGGACGGGAACACTTGCTTGTCTAAAACGCGTTGTCTAGAAAAACATAAATACA